ATATAAATCTGTCATTTTTTATTGTAGATGCGGGAAATTTTCCCATGAAAATACCCAACTTTAGTTTTCTCAATGTTTTAAACCAGAACTGTTGACACAAGTTCAGCTTCATATTTTCTAACAATGGAAGACCCTTTGGTAACCTTTGAGACCACAAGTAAGGGTAAACCAATGGTTCGAGACAGCAAAAACTACACCTATGTAGCCAATACCTCGTTTACAGAAGTGAAATATTGGAAATGTTCGGCTAAAATGTGCTCAACTAGAATTCGAACCCGAATTTGAACTGTCTCTGAATTAGATTTCTAATTTGTATTTAATTTGTAATTATGGCAAGTGTAACCATTATGGCAAGTGTAACCATTATGGCAAGTGTAACTTATGGCAAGTGTAATTAATGGCAAGTGTTACTTATAGCAAATGTATTATGGCAAATGTAATAATGGAAAAAGTATTTATGGCAAAAGTATTTATGGCAAAAGTATTATGGCAAAAGTATTATGGTGAATGAATCTGAGCCCAACACTATAAGTCTTGAAAATTGATGCAACTTTTCATAGCAATCTGGATCTATGTGTTATCAGCATCCCCTTTAGATTACATCCTGTAAGTGCATAGTTGGAAAAACTTAAACATTTTTTCTAATATCAATTATTACCGAAATCCATGGGGGGGGGGGGAAACGTCATGCATGTGTGTCTGTACCAAAAGAGTAAGTGTAAGTAATAACGAACCGAACAGTACATACTACATAAGAATCTCGGTATTTGTACAGTATTTGTTTATTGTTAATTGATTACTTAAAAATAAGTTTAATATACATGTAATATATTATTTATATATTTAAGTCAACGTGCACTATATAAGCCAAATTTTCAAGCAAAGAATATAATTTAATTAAAGTTTACAATTAACTACTCGTTATTCAAGCTTAATTATGATTGACGAAATTGTTCTGCAATTTCCTTGACTGTAGTCATGTTGTGTGTCTGTACCAAAAGAGTGTGTGTGTGTGTGTGATAACGAACTCATCTGCTAAGCTATGCGAATAGCTTTCTCATGCCAGACCAGTGTCATTTCCCTTCCCTTTATTCTTATTCCCTGCCGAAAGCATTTCAAAATTAAGACCACTTTTTAGAAATTATGAAAAACATTTTTACTTTGTTTTAAATCAGAATTTCTCTCATTGAACTGGTATTGAGAAGAAAACAAAATGTATTTACTATAACCGGATAAATTTGCCTTTCTCTTCTAGTCTGTCTAGTTTGCAGAGCTGGGAACTGTGGAGTATCGGTATATATCTCGATATTCAGTGTGGACACTAATAAATGTGAAGATAAATGCTTGATCTTTTCATTTTGGTTATCCCTGTGAATAATGTTGAACGTTTGATCTTAATATTCAATATATCGGCCCTTTTAAATTTGAGGATCACTGCTTGATCTGAGTCCCTGCAGCCTGCAGTGTATAACCAACACTAGATATCGAAGAAGAATTTGGAAGTTAGAACTTTAAAATAAAATTAATATAATATTAAGTGCAGATAAATAAATTCATAGTACATTATTGTATGTTGGGATGAGAATAGTTGGATAGTTGGATAGTTGGATAGTTGGATAGTTGGATAGTTGGATAGTTGAATAGTTGGATAGTTGGATAGTTTGATATAGATGGCTGCTAAACCACGTATTATTTTTAATTTTTGATAAAAAGGAGATTTCATATTATTATCAATATTTGAAATATTGTAAAATTCAAGTTTCATGGAAATAATTCATAAAAGGATTTTTTACAATTAAAAAATATTTACCTACAGTTTCTTTAATACAAAACAATCTTTACTTTTTTTTAATATTTCAGGGGCAGGGGTACAGGGGAATATTGTCCCCCCTCTGATTACGCGGCACATGGTCGGAGGGTTGTATCTATATTTCCATTTTGAACTCATTTTTCACTTTTTATTCAAAATATATATTTATAGAAGGTCTTCATGATATTGTAACACAAATCAACTTCGAAATGGAAAAAGTTATAAAATTTGATACTGCCCCTCGTGCCCATTTTCCAAAGTATGACTATAATCTGCTGTTGCAACTCTTTCAACTCTATCTTTTTCTTTTTATTTCAATTTAATCCTTTTCCGCCATTTTTATTCTAGCCTGAAGCCTCTGCATGCATAAGGGTAATATAAGGTATACAGTAAGTATATATCAGGTATACAGTAAGTATATATAAGGTATACATTAAGTATATATCAGGTATACAGTAAGTATATATCAGGTATACAGTAAGTATATATCAGGTATACAGTAAGTATATATCAGGTATACAGTAAGTATATATCAGGTATACAATAAGTATACACAAGTATACAGTAAGTATATACAAGGTATACAGTAAGTACATATCAGGTATACAGTAAGTATACATAATGTATTTTAGATGTACATTTATTGATTCTATATATAATTACATGATAAATAACGAGTGTACAAAAGGAGAGGAAGTTGAGTAGGTCTTCTCTGGTTTCAAGATCCGACACCACTGATTTGCGGATTTCATAATCCTCTTTCGGGGATTTCATATACTCTATAGTATACTGCAGTAGGTAACGAAATATGTCAGGCCTGAAATGGAGTTAAGTGAAAATAACAAATGTGTGAAATAAAAGTTTTATAAATTTAATGTTTGAATAATCTTTTGTCAGAGTTTAAATTTTGCATAACGAGTATTGGAAAAACAGCAGATTGATGTAGAGCCTAGAAAAATCTGTTTACCATCTCTTTGTACAATTTTCTCAAAAATAATTGTTTAGTGAAGATTCATCCTAATATGTACTCAAAATCACCAAATCACATATTTACGGAACACTTGAATGTATTGCCTTTCTTTTTCAATTTATTATTGAGGTAAACTCAGAATTACAAAATAGAAATTTAAAAATAAAAACAAAATTTGGAAAGCTGTTTGAGACGTTAGAACAAAGTTTTGCCTTAAATTGTAAAAGTTATATCAATTGTAAAATCCAGAATTTCTTGGTTAAAAATGAAATCTAGTTTATAGCATCATATACTTTGTGTAAACAAGAAAGGTGTGACAGGTCAAATTCAGGAATGTAATTTTGCGCAATTATTATATACAGATCAAAATAGCCAACAAGTACAGAATTGCAGAATCGGCTTCATGCAATGACGGAAACTTTTTTATTGCATTAAACACTCCTTAACCTTAATTTTGAATTTTGGAGTTGAAATCGTCATATTTGTGGATATTGAAAACTTGAAATGGGATTTTAATTGAAAATTTAGTAGACGACTTAAAACAGATTCCTCAATCTGCAGAATAATTTAAAAAAGTGTAAGAAATAAGTTCCGGTGCGTAAATATTTGAATTTAGAATCACAGGAAAGGGAAATGCATTGAGAATTAATACTCGATGCCCCCCCCCCCCCCACGTTACCCTACTCAACTGCACTGTCAGTACTGACTTTGATGGGGTTACCTAGAATAAATCACACAGCGCGGAAGCTTTTTGGGCTTTGAACATACTCCCCCCAACATTTAAAAAGATTTTATACTATCAAAAATTATCAAAAACGCAAATCTTAGAAACAGAAATGATTTTTATATTCCTAGAATAAAATCTATTAAAATTGGACTGCTCCCCCCTCACAATTTCCCTAAAATATGGTATGAAAATAAACGACACTTTTCTAAGCTTTCAAATATCAATCATATTTCGAATTTTAAACAGAGTTTAATAGAAGATTTTTATCAGCAGAACAAATGTTTTAATTTTAACACATGCTATGTTTGCAAAAGAATCGAGGAAACCAAAGACGACTTTACAAAGAAAAGAATAAAAAGATTATAAAGCGTAAAAGATATAACCAAACATAAAGGATGCCAAAAATCAGCGCGAATTAAAAAGATGCTTAAAATGCCCGTTTTTCATAAAACCTTTATCTCTTTCACACTCCATAAAGCTTTTTTTTTACTTTTTTTAACATTACAAATAAATCTGTAATTTTTATTTCTAAAAGTTGTTAGTTCATCGTCGAAAAACACTAACAATCCACCTCTAATTTATATTAAATATAGTGTAAACAATAAATATGTAACTTTCCTTATCCGTTCCTTTCCTCTTTCTTTTATTTATATTTTTATATTTTATTAGAATTGGGGGGAAATATTCCCAAAACCTCTGCTTTTAGAGGTTTTTAATCATTTTCTCCTGAAACATTTTATTTTGTATGTTTTTGTTATATTTCATAAATATATAATTTTTTACTTTTACTTTACTTTACTGTACTGTATTTTATGAAACAAGCTGATTCCTACAGTAAGTTCTTAAAGAAACAAAGACCGGAAACATTAATTATGTCTTGTTTAGAAATTTGTAAGGCCCCACTTTACCGTCACACCTGAGAGAATACCGAGGGTGGAAGCGCAGTATTTGAACCAAAAGTTTCAGTTCGGTTAAAACAATATTCGGTAAAAAAAGTTAAGCAGGTTTTAGCCCCGTCGCTCGGCGCAGAACTTTGTTAATCTAATTCCAACCTAAAATGGGGGCTAACATCACCATTTATCTTTTCAATTAAACCAATTAACATTTAAAGAGGGAGGAAGAGGTTCGCGTCTTGTACATTTAAAATAATCATCTTTACTTATAGTTGGGGTTTTTTAAGACAAACCAAACATCAAAGGATGGTTCCAAAGGAAAAAATCTGAAAGCTATTGCATATTACATTATTTGAAAACAGTGTAGTCTATAGAAATAATTTTTCTCAAACGTCGAAGTTGCCTTTCCACCCTCTCTCAGAGTCAGCCTGACGGTGAGGTCTGAGTAAAAAATTACCATTAAAACCATAAAGCCAAAAATATACTTTCTTAGAATTAGGGTATGTGATTTAATTCTTTACAAAGTTAACAATTCAATTAAGTTTCATACATTTTTTTACACATTCCCGTAGATATAAAATGTTGTGTTGCGTTGAATTCTTCCATTATTTGAATTTTAAAATTGATACCTTCCGCGGCTGCTGAGCGATTCATCCTATTATAAGTATGTGGACAAAATTATGGATTCTTCTTTCTTCAATGTGCTCACCAATATTCTGCGGAACCGATGTGGCTGACGTTGTTTTCAATATAAATCCTGCAAGCAAGACCCCTGAGTGCTGGCAGGATAATGATGGTGAGTGGAACTGCTATGAAAGATATGAACCAAGATTTTGTAATGATAGATATGAATGTTCCTGGGATACTCCTATACTCAACACTATAAATGCAAACTGTTATGATGATCACGACAACCTGCAGTGGATCTGTGACTCCTGGGAGTTCTACAATGTCACGAAGGACTCCCCTGGGTGTGTGAAGGTGGATGGTGTTGGTGGAATTGGAGGTCGTCCTCTCACTGTATCTACAGGTTTAGCAAATAATTTCAAATCTAGTGGAGATTCGCGCCCTTGGGTTTTATTGCTCATGTATCTGTGGGCCTGTCCTTTTCGTTCGATATTGGCAACAATAACAAATGTCTTGGATTTTACTGTTTTTAATGATAGATTTTCAAAATTCATTTTAAATTTAATTTTTTAAGAATTTTTAAAAATTTAGACCGACCATTATACTTTTCATTTTACTGTTTTTAATAATAGATTTTCAAAATTCATTTAAAATAAAAATTCTTTTCTTCAGAATTTTTTAAAATTTAGACCGACCATTATACTTTTCATTTTACTGTTTTTAATAATAGATTTTAAAAATTCATTTAAAATCTAAATTTTTTTTAGAATTTTTAAAAAGTTTAGACCGACCATTATACTTTTCATTTTTCTGTTTTTAATAATAGATTTTCAAAATTCATTTAAAATCTAACTTTTTTAGAATTTTAAAAAAGTTTAGACCGACCATTATACTTTTCATTTTTCTGTTTTTAATAATAGATTTTCAAAATTCATAAAAATCTAAATTTTTATATAGAAATTTTCAAAAATTTAGACCGACCATTATACTTTTCATTTTACTGTTTTTAATTATGGATTTTCAAAATTCATTAAAAATCTAAATTTTTATATGGAAATTTTCAAAAATTTAGACTGACCATTATACTTTTCTTGGGTCAGGCCCAGGACTAGGTTGATTTATGAATTATGGTATCTGAAGTCAGAACTTATTTTTTATGAATCTCCGGATCAAGCATTGATCTCCATTTTATACAGACTTACGGATTAATTTAATTTCTTCGTCGTACCATGCGGGGATAAATTTAATCGAGGGAACAAGCATTTAGCTTAACATTTAAAAGTGTCCTTATTGAATATCCATATCAAGATTAACAAGTATAACAAGCGTTAAGTCGTTTCTAATATTAGAAACGACTTAACGCTGTTTAAGTCAGCAGAAGAAACGTTTTTTTCCAATTCTCAAATAACATGGACTAAACATGTAACAAACTAGTTGCATGTATAAAGATTCGGAAAAAAATAATGAACTTATATCATTGAAATAAGTTATTAAAATTCTTTTTAAAATCTCGCAGGTTTATGCAAATTCTCTCAGCTAGGGGAGCTAGGGTTGCTTGATGGAGGTTATCTTTATTTTCATTGGAAGACGACATTTTAAGAAATCTGCGAGTAAAATTATAGGAACAGCAGAGGAAATGATGATAATGAAATTAAGTGGTTCTACGGTTCTAAACTTCTAATATGTCTTTCTTCGATAATTTCTTTTCAGAAATATGTTCCTAAACAGCAAATTAGTCTATAAAATAATATTTTACATGATTTGTCCGGGTTATTAAATATTTGTAAAAAAACGTTTCTTCTGCTGACTGAAACAACTGGTGAAATATTACAAACGCCTTTACGCTCTTATTTAAAAACTGTACACCGTAAAAATGTCTCATTGATATCAAATGATTCCTAAAGTTTTTCTCGACAGTTGTGCACTTTCAGTTCAACTACCATGCCTGGCCGGACTCTCCCTTTAATATATTGTTTCTTTATCTAACTTGTCTGTAATATAGGGACATCAGGCAGTGTGTATCTATCCCAGGAATTCTCATCTTCGTGTCCCAGCACACATATTTGTTACTATCCGAACACAGGAAACTGCTGTAAATTGATAAGGCGGGGTTTAAGATATGTATGTCCCCGAAGATCTTGTTAACAAAAATAATTTTGCGCGATTATGAATTTATTAACATTTTAAATACTTGAATAAAATGTAAAAAATTAAATAGTTAAGAAAGCCTAGTGTGAAGGAGTTAGGTTTTAGTAAAACTTCACATGTTCTAATACCTATATCTTTGCAACTTGATGGTGTAAATCTTTGATATTTTAAAATAAGATTATTTGATCTGACAGATTCATAGTTTAAAATATTAAAGGTCCACGACGTCGGGTTGTAAAGATAAAGGCATTAAAAATAAGATTTTGTTGCAAACTCTTTCTTTTATCGTAAATTTTTTTTTGAGATTGAATGAAAGATAAACTTCAGGGTAGGGGTTGGCCCTTTTGTACTTTTTCAATCCATTCGTTAATGTTCGTAAAATAAATGTCACAATTTTCTTTGTAAGCAAACGTAAATTTTTAACTTAACGATTATGTTAATTTTCAGAAACTTCTGCTCGCTTACGGAACTTTTCAAATTAAATTCTGATTACTAATACAAACAAAAAATATATCAATTTAAAAAAAAACTTTAGATTTTGAATTTAAAGGTGTTGTAGGAACTTAATAGTAAAGAATTTTGACCAAAAATATCACCATGTTTTAACCAAAAATAAAACCATGTTTTGACCAAAAATCTAACCATGTTTTGACCAAAAATATAACCATGTTTTGACCAAATTATTATCATGTTTTGACCAAAAATATAACCATTTTTTTACCAAAAATATTACCATGTTATGGTCAAAAATATAACCATTTTTTTACCAAAAATATTACCATGTTTTGATCAAAAATATAACCATTCTTTTACCAAAAATATTACCATGTTTCGACCAAAAATATAATCATATTTTTACCAAACATATCACCATGTTTTGACCAAAAATATAACCATGTTTTGACCAAAAATATAACCATGTTTTGACCAAAAATATAACCATGTGTTGACCAAAAATATAACCATGTTTTTACCAAACATATAACCATGTTTTGATCAAAAATATTACCATGTTTTGACCTAATTATTATCATGTTTTGACCAAAAATATAACCATTTTTTGACCAAAATTATTACCATGTTTTGACCAAAAATATAACTACTATAGAAATATAACCACAAAAATTATAACCAACCAAAAATATAACCATTTTTTAAACCAAAAAATATAACCCTTTTTTACCAAAAATATAATAATTTTTTACCAAAAATATAATCATTTTTTACCAAAAATATAACCATTTTTTAAAAAAAATTATAACCATTTTTGAACCAAAAATATAACCATTTTTTTAAACAAAAATATAACCATTTCTAACCGAAAATATGACCATTTCTGAACCAAAAATATAAACGTTTTTTTAGCCAATAATCAAATATAAACTTGAAAAGAACTAAGTAGTAAAAAGCCAAGATTGAGTGGAATAACGAAGCAAGGTTGTACACAAAATTATATTTACATTTTAACAATATAAACGATTAATGTTGGACTAACTAAAGTTGATCTAAATACACACAACATTTGCCCAAGGTGAATATATTTCCATTTAACCCTTCCGATCAGATACTGATTACACTTCTTTCTTGCTCGGCTATAGAAATGCCAACATACTCCTTTTGCCAGCATTGATCCTCCCCTATGCCAGCTCTTTAACGGTACTGACTTGATTTCTACCAGATAAGAAAGGGTTCAATACCCTTGCGGGTCTAGCCTGTTGTATACTTAGGCTGCAAACATACTAAGGGTTCAATATCCTCTTGGGCTTGGGTTTGATTGTTTGGCTTTATTCTTGGATTGGATTGTTAGGCTTTATTTCTCTGCTTTGGAGCAATGAACTTTAAGGTACATACAAGTTAAGAACCCTTGGATAGGGTTTTCAATTATTAAATAACGACAACAAAAAATGTAACACCCAATTCTACTCGAAAATAAGTAATCTTATTCAATTATTAGTTGCTATAATCTCTCATTATTCTCAAAGATTTTCTGGAATTTTTATTGAAAAGACAATATTTGAAGAATTTGTAAAAATCTGCGAACAAATTCATAGAAAATTAGAAATTCTAAATAATGATGAAACTAAATAATTGGTTCTTACATTGAGTTATTGACAAACTTCTTTTGAAAAATTTGTTCCTAAACATCTAATTAGTTTACAATATAATTTTTACTTTATTTTTATTCAAAAATAAAAAAAAACGATTCTGGAAACGTACCTACCCAAATTCATGATTTTGAACGTTGACTTTGCACTCAAACTCAGTAATTATACATCGTGGAAACGTTTTTTATGTCTCATATGACTCCTAAAAAGATTTTCTACAATACTGCATATTCAGTTCAACCACCATACATTGCCGGTCACTCCCTTTAATGGCAACATTTATCCTGTTCGTTAATAGTGTTTTCTCTGATTTCTATTATTATGTATGGTACAAATTGAAAGTTGAGCCTGACGCTATTTTAAAGTACTAGGCATTAGCAGCGCTTCGCGCCCATATTCTATTTTAATTGTGAACATATTCTCTTTGTATACATTGTAAAATTTCTAGGATTTAAAAAAAAATTTCGTTGATTTTCAAAATTTTCAAAAAAAAAAATTTGTATGAGGCAAATTTTTGAAAAATTCTATCATCAATAAATCTTCTCTGGGGTCACGCGAGGTCCCACAAAAAATGTGGGCCCGATCGGTTCAACCGTTTTAACGTTTATTGGATACATACAGACAGATAGACAGACAAGCAAAGTATATATATAAGATAGATGGGATTCACCGACAAAGGGTCAAACGACCCAGGGTCAAACGACACAGGGTCAAACGACACTGGGTCAAACGACAAGGGGTCAAAAACGCGACAAAGGGTCAAACGACAAAGAGTCAAAAAATGCGACAAAAGGGCAAATTTTTTTTAAATTTTGACGGTTAGTATTTTTTTGTTATTATTTAAGGTTAGGTTAGGTACATTCTGGGCCGAGCGCTGCGCCTAGAACAGGCTGGGGAGCCGAGCGCTAAGTTTTAAATCTTCAAAAAAGTTTGGCGGATTTTTGTGATTAAAATTGCGAGTTTCCTATGATTCAAATCAAAAAATGTTTTTATCATTTTGACCCTTTGTCGCACTTTTGACCCTTTGTCGTTTCACCCTGTGTCGTTTCACCCTGTGTCGTTTGACCCTGTGTCGTTTGACCCTTTGTCGTTTGACCCTGGGTCGTTTGACCCTTTGTCGGTGAATCATAGATGGTGATAAAAAATATATAGCTTTAACTGTATATATTCTAAGTACATAAATATATGTTTAGTATTTACAATAAAGTATGCATTAACGGACCGATAAATCCAATGCTTCGGAACAAAAGCTGAATATATGTGTTTGTTAATATGGTACATTACACCTACCTCTTACCGCAGCCCTCTCTACAATAAATTCTTTGTTCTTAGTCGGGCTAATAGTCAATGTCAATCTGAACAATTTGGAGATAAACATCACTTTATAGAATCAAAATTTGGAGATAAACATTTATTTATAGAATCAAAATTTGGAGATAAACATCACTTTATAGAATCAAAATTTGGAGATAAACATCACTTTATAGAATCAAAATTTGGAGATAAACATCACTTTATAGAATCAAAATTTGGAGATAAACATCACTTTATAGAATCAAAATTAGGAGATAAACATCACTTTATAGAATCAAAATTTGGAGATAAACATCACTTTATAGAATCAAAATTAGGAGATAAACATTTATTTATAGAATCAAAATTTGGAGATAAACATCACTTTATAGAATCAAAATTTGGAGATAAACATCACTTTATAGAATCAAAATTTCCTCCACAAATGTTGCTTCTAAAGAAAAAAGTTTTTTTACATCTCTACAAAGGAATTAAGTCTTCACCACATTCAAATTGTCTATAGTCCCTATTTCTTTGCAACCTGATGGCGTGGTCCTCCAATATATTATCTGAAGCCGGGACAACAAATTCCTTGCTGGCCTTAAAGCATTTATTGTTGTCCTATGTATACAATGAATCGTTTATGAGAAAGGAATTATGATTTTTTAAAATATATTTTAAGTTCTATACGGATGTGGTCACATGTAATATAAATTACACCTGTACCCGGACCAGAGGGAGAAAAGACCGGTGGCATAAATATATAGTAATAAAATATCTAGTAACCACTTTATTTTCCTTCCTCCTTAATCACATGATTTTTTAAACCCCCCATTTTATTGTCCCAGGTATTCACCACCGGGTTTTAAAGTTATAGGGATTATAAAGTTAGAGTTTGAGGCGGATAATCAGTTCCGTTGTCTTTCCCAATACTAAAATTATTATTTGCATTTCATTTAAAAAAAGAAAAATACAACCTCTTCCTCTTGTTTGAACTTGCAACTTGAATCTCGAGGTTCACCCACGCAATGCTCGAAATAAACTCAAATAAACTTAAAATGTCACTTTCATGCAGTATCACATGCATTATTCCAAGGCATCAATTTGGAAAGCTTAAAGAAAAGATGATTTATTGTTAATTTTCCATCTACAGGGTATCCCATAAACATGGGAATTCAGAGACGATCAAACAAGATCAAACATCTTAGGAGCTTTCTAAAATGAGGTCTAACTTCTTTGTATCTTTTAAATTCACTTAGTTATTAAACATATTAACCGTTATGTTGATTTTTAATAAACTGGAATCTGAAAAAATTTCCTAAAATCTCCGTAAAGTTTGAAGGTAAAAAAATGGTAGACCACATTTAGAAATACCGAGACTATTATTTTTCGGTCTAAAATGTTTTAACTGGGATATTACAAAATTATAGTAACGAAATTATCCTGCATGGAGCAAAGAAGTCGTCATTTAATTTTCATGTTTATTGAGACACCCTGTATTGTGTTAGCTTTCTCAGTGAACGGTTCATTTAGTAAAAAACTTTGATGAATAAATCATTTGTTCAAAAAAATCGTTCGTTCAGTAAAAACTATCATTTTTAAAAAGTTTTTTTCCCAAAAAAATCGTTTGTTTAGTAATCAAAACGATCGTTTTTTCAAAAGCTTTAGGAAAATTCTGTCGTACAGTAAAAAAGTCGATAGTTTTTCAAGGCCTGTCAAACGA